CGCTGATAAGCCTGTAGGCAGACATTTGTGGCTGTCAAACCACAAGAATTTGGTAGGTCTGCCCGCAGATCCGAATCGGTCACCACTGGAAAGCCAGATGTGATCTGGCGGGGTCGGCGCGTAAAAGACGAACGCCGCCGACGTCGGTCACCACTGGAAAGCCAGATGTGATCTGGCGGGGTCGGCGCGTAAAAGACGAACGCCGCCTATATATATATATAGGGTGAGTGATAGTCTACTTTGATTTTGGTTAAGGTAGATTATCATTTACAGTGTAATCAGTGAGGGGATTCTGCAGACTGTTGAGGGTTCAGCCTCCTGATGAGTCGGTGAAACTCCGACGAAACAGTTTGTCACAGCTCCTCGTTTGTTGTCCTCTTCTCTCTCTCTGCCTACGGTTTACCGGGCAGTTCTATTCTGGCACCCGGGACCCCAGAGGCCCGGCTGGTAGCCTAGTTTTCAACCACAAACAATTTCGTTAAAAAAAAAAAAAAAAAAAAAAAAAAAAAGGGCTACGAGTGGTTTAGGAACTTTAGACTCTAGACTCTCGACTCTAGAGTTTAAACCAGCAATCAAACTCTCCAAAAAGAAAACCAGTCCATGAAATTCTGCCATCTAAATACCTCCAGATTCTCTACCCAAAAAAAACAAGGGCCCCTTGAGAGCTTAGGATTTACGACGTTACGCAGCATAGAGAGTGTCTGGGTATCACCATTTAGGGTTGGTGGTGTACACAAGGGTTTAGGGTTTACCGAGTATAGAGTTTAGGGGTTTAAAAGGGTTCAGGATTTTTGCTGTGAACAGTGTGAAGGGGTTTAGCGGTTCCAGTTGTTTAACCACTTTTTTAAGCTTTCACTTCCCTGCGTAAGGTTTACCGTTTTAAACGTTTAGGGTTGAATACATACAGTTGAAGGGGGTTTCACTGTTCAGATCCTGTACAGGGTTTAAGGGGGGGGTGTAACCGTTTAGGGTTTCCACTTCAGAGGGTTTAGCAATTCAAGCACTTAGGGTTTACAGCTTTCAACAAATGACAGGGTTTAGGCCCTTTAGGAGGTTAACCATTTATAGGGGTTCAAATACCAGCCATCCATACTTGCCCCACACCTGTGCAATGCGCCATCCTGTCTTCTCGAACAGCACTGAGGGTTCATAAATTTATAATGATAATGCACAGGGTTTAGGGGTTTAACCATTTACAGGGTTTCCACTTTCAAGCATACTAAGTCTTGCCGTGCACCTGGGCAATGCGCCATGCTGTCTTTTTAGGGGGTTAACCATTTATAGGGGTTCAAATACCAACCATCCATACTTGCCCCACACCTGTGCAATGCGCCATCCTGTCTTCTCGAACAGCAGTGAGGGTTCATAAATTTATAACAATAATGCACAGGGTTTAGGGGTTTAACCATTTATAGGGTTTCCACTTTCAAGCATACTAAGTCTTGCCGTGCACCTGGGCAATGCGCCATGCTGTCTTCTCAAACAGCATGTGTCAGTGGTCCGTGAGAGAGAGAGAGAGAGAGAGAGAGAGAGAGAGAGAGAGAGAGAGAGAGAGAGAGAGAGAGAGAGAGAGAGAGAGAGAGAGAGAGAGAG